GTTGTAATGAGAAAATAAACGGCAACGATAGAAAACAGTACAAACCCTAAAAAAGGGCATGAAATTTGTGCTGAGAAACGAAGGGTGCGAGAACATGTTCCGGGGAAAAGGGCCATGAGATTCTAATTTGGGCATAGAAAAACACGCGCGGGAATTTGTTTTCGGGCACGGAGGAAATTTAAAACACCATTATATCGGTTTGTGTGACGTCCTACTAGTAGTAGTAACAAGCAAGAAGCTCATATCAAGAAGATGGTGAACAAGTTTTTGCAGAAACAGGCTCATGAAGATGCATACAATGCTATTGCAAAAAAAGTCAGGTACAAGCAAGAACAATTTGTTGCCAAACTGCCAGTCCTCTGTTGTCAGTATCAGGTTAATTTACTGTACACTGTGCAATTGTTATTGTTACGAAACTCGTAGTAATCCCGTTCGGATGTGGATGAAAATTCAAAAAATTACCCATTTGGTCGAGTGAGTCGCCATTATTCATTTCAATGCGCGTTTTCCATGCTGTTCCGGGTAACTTCAAAACTTTCGAGTTCGTTCACCGACAGTTTTCGAAGTGAACACTTTTGAGGTTGGGAAAAGTCTTGCCTCAGTCTCAGTCGTTTCACCATTTTCGAATCTTTCTCGTTGTTACGATCAAACCACATTAGCAACACTGACACGGAGTAACAAATACTATTACATTCCAACGGATAAATTTCGTCTACTATGATTTCAGACGCAATGAAAAAGGAAAAATTACCCGGGAAAGAAGGAAAAGAAAATGCAGCCGCCAAGAGCAAGCGCCGAATTTGGGGAGAGGCGAGGAAGGAAATGATTCCTTTGTCGGTGGGAGCAATTGCTCTTGTCGCCTCGTCGTCTGTCAACCAAGGTATGTCGTACTCATCGGATGGTAAAAGTACCTTGATGGTTGTCGTACTCATCGGATGGTAAAAGTACCTTGATGGTTGCTTCCATTCATTGCTACGATTTATCGACCACTTAGAGAAGAAAGTGTCACCAGTCACTAGAATCGGACTCACTTGCGATTTGTCACATGTTTCTCTTCGCACTCTGCTCATTTACGGACAAATTACGCAATCAATAACGTTCGCAGCTGTCCCTCGTTTGATGGGAGTCCTCATGGATCCCTCGAAACCGAAATCTGCCAACACTTCGGAACGAAAATTCATCTCACAGATTTTGTGGTTGAGCTTGGCGGGTGGCACAGCTAGCTTCATCCGAGTGAGTATCGTGGTCCAACCGCACTGCAGAATGATTTGTTCAGACCACCATTCAGCCCGGAGCTAATACGAACACGAACCACTTTATAATCATTTTTCTCATGGTAATCGTTTATTTGTGCTTGCATTGTATCTCCTAGACATGGTTGATGAATCGAGCCCAAGACTCGATTGCTGCCCGGCTTCGAAAGGAAGTTTTCGAGAGTCTACTTACCAAGCGCGAGTTGGAATGGTTTCAGCACACCCAGATCGAGTCGAGAACGGAAAACATTGGAAAGGAAATCGAAAGAACCAAGAGCGATGTGTCGACCGCTGCTAGCGACCAAGAAGCAACGAAGGACAAACGACAAAAACGTAGAACGGAATCTTTATCTCCTAGCACGGGTGTGACACCAGCTGCAGTGGGTGTCATCATGAAAGATGATGTCGATGTGGTCGCAAACACGGTGACAAACACTCTTGCGAACTTACTGCGATCGCTCAGTTCTTGTGTTTTTGGAACCTACAACATGCTTTGCATCAACCCGCAGCTCGTGGGACTGTCGATAGGGGTCGCTCCGGTAGTTGGAACGCTTGCTTGGATGACGAGAACCTACCTGAAAAAAATTGTAGCAATWCAGCAGCAAGCAGCAATCAAGTCGGCCTCTTTTGTTGAGGAACGCCTGAATCACATTACTATGGTGAAAACTTCGAACCGAGAACACGACGAGGTTGAAAAATTCAATGAAATCCAAGACGAATGCGTCACACTCGGAGGAAAGGCTGCATTGGCATCGGGTTTGTCCATGGGTATCATGTTTGGCTTGAGCAGCACTGCTTTCTGTGGAATTTTGTTGGCAGGAAGGAGAGCCGTCAAAGCGGACAAAATGACCTCGGGTGAACTCACAAGCTTTGGAACCTATTCTTTCATGTTGGCATTGGGATCGGCTGGCGTCGTCCGCGCCCTCGGAGAATATAGCAAGGGCATGCAGTGTGCGACTCGACTTTACAAATTGATCGACGGCGACAATGACGAAGGACAAAAATCTATGGATCAAGGAATAGATGGCAGCCGTCCACTCGTTAATACCGATCTTGTTCAAAAATTATCGATTGAGAATGTAAACTTTTCATTCAAAGCAGACCCTTCAAAAATGGTTCTCAAAGACTTATCCTTCAGTATCTCACGTGGTGAAGTGGTAGCCATAGTTGGAGAAAATGGAAGCGGAAAATCAACAACAGCTTCGATCATAGCTGGTATTTATCCTCCTCAATCTGGCCAGATCGCTCTGTATGATACCAAAGCTACCACCGCAGAGCCACTGAACTGCATCACCGATCTCGAACGCAGAGACCGAGCCAGCCTTGTCCAAGTAGTTCCGCAAGCTCCTGCGCTTTTCGATATGACGATCCTAGATAATGTGCGCTATAGCCGTCCCGATGCGTCGGAAGAAGACGTGCGCACGGCAATGGATAGTGCCCACTGCGATTTTGTGTCGAACCTTGATGGTGGCCTGGATTATCAGGTCGGAAGGAACGGCATTCGCTTGAGTGGGGGCCAGCGCCAACGAATAGGCCTGGCCCGGGCGTTCTTGGCGAACCCGGTCTTTTTGGTCCTCGACGAGCCATCGTCTGCTATGGATGCCGAGGGTGAGGCATCTCTATCGGATACCATGGCAGCCTGTAAGTCATCGAATCGAGGATTGCTGATAATCACCCATCGTGCCAAGACTCTGGAACTGGCGGATCGTATTCTTGTGCTGAAGGATGGTCAAGTAGTAGAGGAAGGAAAACTTGGAGCGCTCAAGAAACGCAAGAATGGCGAATTGGTTGCCCTAATGTCTGATCTAGTTTAGTAATCTGTAGAACGGAACAAAAAACATTGCTTCAGATCTTGCCCCAGTACTATCGATTGATTATCGAGAAAATTCCATTCTACATGTACTCCGGTTTGTTTTAAATTTCTCTCCAGCAGTGAAAGAGAAATAGCCCATCAAAATCAGAATGAACAATACTCTGGCATGCCCGACCGACAAATTCAATCAAAATAACTAGTACTAGTACTACCGTACTGCTTAATTTTTATTTCTGCTTGAACTTCAGAGGAGCATCTACTTATAGCAAAAGCTTGGGCAAGGGAAAGCAATGACCGAACTAGGCTATAGATATGAGAATTATTGCCTCTCCTACCTGTAAGCTAGAGCTATTAATGGTAAGTCCCGTACTGGCAAGTTATTGGCAATTCCGAACCTCCAGGGCCGGCTGGCTTGCCTGCCATGCGCATGTACCCCCTGTACATTCAGTACTGCGGTACTAATTATACGTAATCTACGTACATATTTTTATACACCAAATCAGTACTGATGCACCTCCATCCAATGCTGCACCTCCACCGTCGAAAATACGAGCAAACACAT